TCCTGCTCCAATGATGCTGCTTGGCCTGCTGTGTTCATCCAGCTCTACACCTTGTTATCTCTAATGTTCTGGGGACCCTGGTTTGAATCCCACCACAGCAGATACTGGAATTTGAATCCAATTTTTAAAAAAAGCCTGGAATTAAGAGTCTGATGATGATGATGAATCCATTGCCAATTGTTGGTAAAATCCATCTGGTTCACTAATGTCCTTCAGGGAAGGAAACTGCCTTCTTTACCTGGTCTGGCCTACATGTGACTCCAGACCCCCATGAATGTGGTTGCCTCTCAAATACCATGAAGGCAATTAGGGATGTCATGATGTGGAGGTACTGGGGTGGACATGTCAGAAGTCACACGACACCAGGTTATAGTCCAAATGGTTTGTTTGAAATCACAACCTTTTGAAGCACTGTCCCCTGACGGGCAATGTTTTCAAGCAGAAGGTGGTGTGTGTATGGAATGAGCTGCCAGAGGAAGTGGTGGAGGCTGGTACAATTACAACATTTAAAAAGGCATCTGGATGGGTACATGAATAGGAAGGGTTTAGAGGGATACGGGTCAAATGCTGGCAAATGGGACTAAGATTGAGATGTTTGGCTGGTGCGGACAAATTGAACCGAAGGGTCTGTTTCCCTTCTGTACATCTCTATTACTCCATGAATCTTCTACCTCCCCATGTAACTGCTGACACTCTCTTCTCCATAGTTGTATACCTCCAATCAGTATCCAGGAAACCCTTGATATTAAATCGACTAGTTTTTTGTGCTCGATCAGCTTATTAATTCCTGCAGATGATGCATCCACTGCTACTGGTAAATAACCCTAGTTTGTAACGTACTAATACATCGGTGGAAAGTACCTTTCTCTTTAATCTTTTCAAAAACTGCAGTCTCTTCCTGACTCCAATATCGTTGCTGGACTTTTTCTAACAGTCTCTTATGGGTTGAGTAAGACTGGCTAAAAGATGGATGAAGGTCCCCACTAGATACACATGCCTAAGAAATGTTGTATATCATAAAGCACTTAGATGATAGGCAGTCAATTTTGGCTCCCGTCTCCCTTGTGTCAACTATGATGCTTTGTTCTTGGATAATGCATCCGACAAATATAATTGTTGTTCTAAAGTATTGGCAGCTCTGTTTTAGTGCAAGGAGTACATTTTGTGGCACCTTTAAAAGGTCCCTGTCCCTCTGATTAAGGCAAAACACTGTGGATGCTGGAAAACTGAGACAACTGGAGTTCTGAAGAAGCATTATACTGGACTTCAAAAATTTACAGTTTTAGGCCTTGATCTCTGTCAGCCTAGTGAAATGGATTGCCTGCTCCAGCATTAAATTTTCCTTGGATTGAAGGAAGTCTGGTACTTCTCATTCCTCTCACCAATGACTATACAGTCTCTAATTAGTCCTTCTCTCAAAGCACTGCAACATCCTATTCGATAACACAAACCCGGGCTTCTAGTGATTCTCCCAAGTTCTGAGATCACTGTCTAGTGATGCTAAAATGCACGTGGAGTACTTCATCATGCTCCATAGTACTTCCTTCCATGTTTTGTCTTACGAGAATGTTATCAGCTGTTGGACCTACAGCATATAAAAACAGAGCTGGCTCGATGACAGAGTACCTTCATGTGTAAGACACTCTGTAGCATTGAAGCTACTGTTACATTTGTGGATGAAGAAGATGTAGACAGAATTCTAATTGGGGATTTTGTCTCTTCTTTTAATTCACTCATGGGCCGTGGGCATCGCTGGCTGGCCAGCCTTTATTGCCTTTACCCAGCTGCCCTTGAACTGAGAGGCTTGTGAGGCCACTTCAGAGGGCAGGTAAGAGTCAACTGCCTTCCTGTGTGTCTGGAATCATATGTAGGCCAGACCAGGCAAGGATGGCAGATTTCCTTCCCTGAAGGGCATGAGTTAGCCAGATAGGTTTTTCTGACAATCAGCAATGGTTTTATTAATTCCAGATTTATTTTTTCTTTCCTTTCACAAAAGAGAGGGATAATGCAGACATTCTGGTTAAAGTGGTAGTATTAGATAAAATAAGCATAATGAGAAGGGAAATACTGGAGGGTCTGACTCCCTTGAAGTGGATAAATCACCAGGACTGAATTAATTGTATCCTAAGCTATTGAAGGAAGCCAGAGAGGAAATAACAGATGCTGTCAGGATCATTTTTCAAACATCACTGGATATAGGCGAGGTCTCAGAGGAGCATGAATTGTTATGCAAAAAGACCTCACTAGAATCAATATTGAGGGAGAGGATTAATTGGCAATGATTAATCAGAGATAGTACGGCTTTGTTAAGGAGAAGTTGCGTCTTACTATCAGAATTTTTTGAAGAAGGAAGGGGAGAATTGATGAGGATGGGAAATTGGGCGTTATCTACATGGATTTTAGTAAAGCATTTGATAAGGTCCCACAATAGTAAACTGTTCAGAAAAATTAAAGCCCGTAGGATACACAGGGATACGGTGAGTTTGCTTCAAAATTAGCCCAGGAATCAATGGACCTTTTTTGTCAATGTAAAGTGGTTTCCAGTGCTCAGTTTTTGGTCCATTGCTGTCTGTGATATGTACATTGATTATTTAGACTTAAATGTTGGACGTATGATTGGGACATTTGTAAATGACAGAAAAATAGGCCATGTCATTGATTGTGTAAAGATGACTGTTGACCGCAGACAGACATCAATGGTGGGAAATGGAATTCATTCTGTAGAAGTGCAAGATTATACATTTGGAGAGGGCAAACGAAACAAGCGAATGCTGAATAAATGGGAGGCTATTTGAGAGGAACAACGGAAGTGACAGACCTTACAGTACATGCCCATAGGACCCTGAAGGTGGCAGGGCAGGTAGTTGAGGCGGTGAAGAAAACATAAAGGAGCACTTTTGTTCACTGTGTGAGATACTGAATACAAGAGCAGGGACATAATGCTGGAACTATATAAAACATGGTTAGGTGTTTTGTGTACAGGTCATTACGTTACAGGTAGGACATAATTGCTGGAGAGAAAGTAAAGAAGACATTTATTGGGTATTTTGCCAGGGCTTGAAAATTGTAGGGAAGAGGAAAGATTGGATCGTCCAGGGTTAGAACAGAGGAGACTGAGGGGTGACTTAATCCAAGTGTAGAAAATAATGAGGAGCTTGGATAGAGTGGAGAGCGAGGACCCGGTTTGCCAAGCAGAGAGGCCAAATATTGCAGACACAAATTTAAGGTGATTTGTGGAAAGATTAGAGAGGAATTGAGGGAAAATGTTTTCACCCAGAGGGTGTTGGGAGTCTGGAATCTGCTGCTCATTTTGGTGGTTGCGGTGGGAAATCATTGAAAAGGAGCCTGGATCTGCACCTGAAGCACCGTTAAATGAAAGGCTACAGACTGCCTGCTGGAAAGTGGAATTTGACTGGGTGGCAAGTTTATTCATTGAGGTGTAGATATGTTAGGCTGAATGGCACCTTTCTAATGGATAACTGTTCTATGGGGACACTATTTTTCGCCTTGTTATGGGCCTTCTGATTCATCAGTTAGGCAAGGCCTCTCTATCCCCATAAGCCTGTCTGACTTAGCGAATACTTGGATTTTCTGACCTACTGTCAGAGTGATCTGATCCTGTGTTTTCACTGCCCAGAGTATTGCTGGTCATGGCTTTGCATCAATGTCTTCTGAGGTCTTTTTCCCCTTGTTTTTGGATTTTCTATCCTTTTTTTGCCGAAGTCTTGGCCTGGATCATTTGGAGTCTTCCCATTTTTTTCCTCAGCTTTGCCTTTGGAGTTTTGCACGGGCCTATTCTGCTATCGGAGTCTTCCCTTTTTTATTTTGCTGTGTTCCCCAGCACCCTGTTTTAGCACCAGATCCTGTCTCTAAAGGCTTTCCCCCTCACTGCCACCATGTTTTACCCCGTGCTTTAAAACAATATAGTGACCTACACTGTCAGAAGCATCTTTGGCTGCTGGAGGTCGATATATACACTATAGCTCAGGCTGCTTCCAATACATTCTCTACATAAGGCTTTTCAACTCGTTATGTATTGTAACACTTCTTTACCTATATCTGTAAACAGGATCTCTATTGTAATGTCTAAGTCCTCTCTGTTCACAATGTCATTCTGGACTGGTGACTTCTTTCTCATTGATGTCAGAATAAAGTAAACAGTTATGTGATCATGATTTACACAAATGTTATTTCCCCAGCATTTACATGTGAATTTAATCCATGTCAGGCCCCCTCATGCGTTCATACGTATGACTGAAACATAATGTTAAAAACACTGAACCTACAATCAGTCACCTTTTAAAATTCATTCATGGGTTGTGGGTATCGCAGGCTGGGCCCAGCATTTCTTGCCCGTCCCTAGTTGCCCCCTTGAGAAGGTGGTAGTGAGCTGCCTTCTTGAACAGCTGTAGTCCACATGCTGTACGTTTACCAACAGTGCCATTAAGGAAGGAATTCCAGGAATTGGACCCAGTGGCAGTGAAGGAACAGCAATATATTTCCAAGTCAGGAGGGTGAGTGGCTTAGAGGGGAACTTACAGGAGGTGGTGTTCCTTCTAGATGGAAGTGGTCGTGGGTTTGGAAGGTGCTGTATGAGGATCTTTGGTGAATTTCTGCAGTGCATCTTGTAGATAATACACACTGCTGCTCCTGAGCATCGGTGGTGGAGGGAGTGGATGTGGTTGCTTTGTCCTGGATGGTGTCAAGCTTCTTGAGCGTTGTTGGGGCAGCACTCATCCAGGCAAGTGGGGAGTATTTCATCACACTCCTGACTTGTGCCTTGTAGATGGTAGACAGGTTTTGGAGAATCAGGAGATGAGTTACTCACTGGAGATTTCCTAGCTTCTGACCTGCTCTTGTAGCCAGTGTATCTGTGTGGTGAGCCCAGTTGAGTTTCTGATCAATGGTAAACCCAAGGATGTTAGTAGTGAGGGATTCATTGATGATAACACTGAAAGTCAAAGGTGGTGGTTAGATTGTCTCTTATTGGTGATAGTCATTGTCTGGCATTTGTGTGATGAGGGAATCATTATGCACACCAAATTGCAAGTGATCTAAATAATCATCTCAAGTACAGTAACATTAAAAGATAATTACATGTAGTGGAACTGTTCCAGACAGCCTCGTGTTCTCATTGATCATGCTTATGAGTTGGATAAATATTTCATCATCATAATCAAAGCGGTCTCCAAATAGCATGGAACAGATTATATTGCTCACAGCAGAACTCAATATCCATGCTGTTTCAAAAGGTTGACCTGTGAGCAAACAGTATTCCAGGTAAAAATAAAGCTGTAAATACCACACATACTTCTAGTATTTTGTCCTTTAAAAAACCCAAGTTAGACAAGCCGCAATACAACATTGTTAATACAACATCCATCACTATGTATTGTATGCATTTTGTGCTAGAAGCCAGCATTTTATGAGAATTTAATATTCAAGGTCAGGATTAGGGTTATTTCAGTTCACTTCAGTTCCAAGGGTGCTCCATTTTACTTTCTCTTTCACCAAGGTGACTACACTGAGGATCCATCAAATAGCACTGGGGAAGCAGAACAATTTCCCATCAAGAAGTTGAAACTTCCTGCAAAATTCCCACATTAGTCATGTTCATAAATCAATACACTTCTTACCCACTCACCAATCATTAAAAGCAAATGTTATGTTACCAAATTATTTTGCAAAAGAACTTCTGGCCAGGAATTTAATTACCTTGACTAGTTCCCCTCTTCTGCTTTGTTCAACATAGGGGCTATGGTTAGTAAGTTTGCAGATGACACCAAAATTGGTGGTGTAGTGGACAGCAAAGATAGTTACCTCAGAGTACAATGGGACCTTGATCAGATAGGCTGAGGAGTGACAGATGGAGTTTAATTTAGATAAATGTGAGGTGCCGCGTTTTAGAAAGGCAAATCAGGGCAGGACTTATACACTTAATGGTAAGGTCCTGGGGAGTGTTGCTGAACAAAGAGACCTTGGAGTGCAGGTTCATAGTTCCTTGAAAGTGGAGTCACAGTTAGACAGATAGTGAAGAAGGCGTTTGGCACGCTTGCCTTTATCGGTCAGAGCATTGAGTATTAGAGTTGGGACCTCATGTTGTGGCTGTACAGGGCAATGGTTAGGCCACTTTTAGAATACTGCGTTCAATTCTGGTCTCCCTGCTATAGAAAAGACGTTGTGAAACTTGAAAGGGTTCAGAAAAAATTTACAAGGATGTTGGTGGGCTTGGAGGTTTTGAACTATCGGGGTAGGCTGAATAGACTGGGGCTATTTTCCCTGGAGGCTGAGGGGTGACCTTATAGAAGTTTATAAAATCATGAAGGGTAAATAGCCAAAAGATCTTTTTTCCAGGGCAGGGGAGTCCATAACTAGAGGGCTTGGCTTTGTGGTGACAGGGTAAAGATTTGAAAGGCACCTAAGGGTGTATCTTTTTCATGCAGAGGATGGTGCATGTATGGAACGAGCTGCCAGAGGAAGTGGCGGAGGCTGGTACAGTTACAAAATTTAAAAGGCATCTGGATGGTTTCACGAATAGAAAGGGTTTTGAGGGATATGGATCAAATGCTGGCAAATGAGACTAGATTAATATAGGATATCTTGTTGACATGGACAATTTGGACCGAAGGGTCTGCTTCCGTGCTGTACAATTCTGTGACTCTAAAACAGACAACGGATGTTTCGAATCTAATCTTATTTAAAGTGTCCAGATGTGGTCATTGGCTTTGTGAATGGAGAACGTCATACAGGGAATTCTCATTCTTGGTGTGATGGAACTGATGATTCAGTTTTAAATTACCTTAACCTCAGTGGAATTAAAAAAGTGTCAAACACCAGTGTGTCTGGTGGCCCGTTGACATTTGTCTGGCCCAATGGTATGAATGTAATTGATGGAATTTCGCTTTTATTCAAGTGAAAATCTTTTGTGCAGATGTCAATTTCAAGGCAACGATTAGTCACAGCATTTCATGAGCCATGAAGCACTCACCCTTATGACTCTCGAATACATTGACAAGAAAGCTGGCCTCTTCAGTGATCCTGTCCTCAATGGATTTCTTGCCCATGCCAAAGTCTCGGAGAGCTGAGATCACAAACTTCCGGTTGTCCTGCCACAACTTCCCATCACTGAATATAACCCCTGAAAGTGACACGAGGAAAGCTGATCAAATATTGTGGGCAGTTCTGCTGTGACTGCAGCCAAACCCCAGGTCTCTAATCCCCTTTCCTTTCCTGAGAATCAGAACATCCTAAAACCAAGAAGAAGGCCACTCAGCCCATTGCATCCATGAGGAGGGAGGAGCGATCCCATTGGTCTCACTTCCCCAAAATTTCTCTGACATTGTCATTCTCATTATCTGGCCTATTCCCTTTGAATGTTCCTATTGAACCTACTTCCATACCAACCCAGGTACGACATTCCAGATGGTAATGAGAGTTACGGAACCAAATCTCATCCTCCCTCTGATTTTATTTTAACCAGTAATCCTCCCAATTTAAGTGTTTGTCAGTTCATATTTAAGATGGTCCCATACCAAATTGAGACAACCCAGCAAAGAGTCAAACAGATATACAGCAGGGAAACAGACCCTTCGGTTCAACTTGTCCATGCCGACCAGATATCCTATATGAATTGAGTCCCGTTTGCCAGCTTTTGGCCCATGTCCCTCTAAACCCTTCCTATTCATATATCCATTCAGATGCCTTTTAAATGTTGTAATCGTACCAGCCTCCACCACTTCCTCTGGCAGCTCATTCCATACACACACCATCCTCTGTGTGAAAAAGTTGCCCCTTAGGTTTCTTATATCTTTTCCCTCTCACCTTAAACCTATGCCCTCTAGTTTTGGACTCCCCCACCCTGAGGAAAAGACCTTGTCTATTCACCCTATCTATGTCCCTCATGATTTTATAAACCTCTATAAGGTCACGCCCTCAGCTGTGACACTCCAGGGAAAATAGCCCCAGACTATTCAGCCTCTCCATATAACTCAAACCCTCCAACCCTGGCAATATGCTCATAAATCTTTCCTGAACCCTTTCAAGTTTCACAACATCCTTCCCATAGCAGGGAGACCAGAATTGCAAGCAATACTCCAGATGTGGCCTAACCAATGTCCTGTACAGACACAACACAACCTCCCAACTTCTATAAGCAATGCACTGACTTATAAAGGCAAGTGTACCAAATGCCTTCTTCACTATCCTAACTAAATGCGAAACACTAGCTTCCTCTCTCTCCATGGATGCTGTCTGACCTGCTGTGGTCTCCAGCATTTGTTGTTTTCAAAGAGCTATGTTTGTTGACCAAATATTGACCAGCTTGAACATTTCACATGCAGATTAAAGTTCTGACACTTGAGCAACATTTATGGAGCTTAACCAAGGGAGGGTTATGTGGTCTGTTATCAGCTCAAAATCTGATCGCTGCAATTTAATGTGACAGGAGGAAGCTCGGTCGCTTTCAGGTTTTGGGTGAGATGTTGATACTTTTGTTGCACTTTAGCCTGTGAGTCTCAAGATTCTTGATTCATTCTCACTTTAGGCTCGACCATAAAAATCAAGACTTGTGCTACTGTATAATACACATTGAGAATTGCATAGTTGAACTGCTGTGTCTAATTTGAGACTTAGACCCATCTGTCTGTTCAGGAGGATATAAAATATCATCATGTATTTTGAGGAAGAGTAGGGGTGTTATTTCCAGTCACCAGAAATCAGATTATATGGTCATTTTCACATTGCTGTGTGTGAGAGTTCACTTTGTGTAAATTGGCTGTAACATATAATGTGAAAGCGTCAATGTTGACAGGAAGAAAAGAACAAATCATACGAAGTAAATGCTGAGAGATTACAGAGTCCTGTAATACAGAGGGTATATGAATCACAAAAGGTTAGTGTGCAGCTACAGCAAGTAATTAGGAAAGCTAGCAGAACGTGATCATTTATCACAAGAATAATCGAACATAAATGCAGGCAGGTTATGCTTCAGTTATACGTGGCTCTGCTGAGACCACACCTGAAGTATTGTGAACAATGTTGTCACCTTATTTAAGGAAGGACAGAAAGGCATTTGGAAGCAGCTCAGAGAAGGTTTCCTAGAATAATACCTAGGATGTGTCAGTTTTCTGATGGGGAAATGTTGGACAGGCTTGGCTTGTAACCAGTCCACAATGGAAGAGTGAAAGAGGACTTGAATTTACACATAAGATCCCGACTTGTCAATGGCAGGCCATTAGATTAAAAACTGTTAATCAATATAATTTTGCTGCTGGCCCTCACTGTTTCATAGGTACTCAGTCATGAGATACTATGTCTGTTCTGATTATTATTTAGCACGTTGGTCATGGCACAGGACATGATGGATGGTATCCTCAGTGTGAAATTAAGCTTTGTCTCCTACAGGCTGTACAGGGTCACATGTGCCAAAGCTGTCATGGGCAGATGCAACTGCAGAATGTACGGTGGTGAGGATGAGGCTTTGAGGCTTATCCCTCATGTTGTTTCCCTTCGTCTGGTTCATGCCTCAGCCACCTCAATCAGTATGGGTGCTGCTAATGCACTCATGATGATCAACATTGAAGGTCACCATGCAAAGCACATCCTCTGCCCTTGCCAAGCTTCCAAATGACCTCCAACATAGAGGTGAACCAAATCATTGGCTGAGGGTTGTGGGAGACAGTAACTAATAATCTCCAAGAGGTTCCCTTGCCCATATTTGATTTGTTAGCATGAGAACTATGGTAGCAAGGTAACATGGTGCCATGGGGCGGCATGGCGGCTCAATGGTTAGCACTGCAGCCTCATAGCTCCAGGGAACCAGGTAATAACTCCTCCAAAAAGCATCCCCTCCAGACCCACCTCCCCCACCCCACCAAATCTCCTCCCTGTAACCCTGCCTTTCCCATGGCTAACCGACCTAGCCTGCTCATCCCTGGACACTATGGGCAATTTAACGTGGCCAGTCTACTGAACCTACACATCTTTGGACTGTGGGAGGAAATCGGAGCACCACGCAGACACAGGGAGAATGTGCAAACACCACACAGACAGTTGCCTGAAGCTAGGATCAAACCCGAGTCCCTGGCGCTTTGAGGCAGCAGTGTTAACCATGCCACTATTTGATGGAAATGTACCAATTATACACAAAGTGCTGGTGAGCCATTAATGTGAATTCTTTATTTGAAAGTAAGGATACTTAAAGACTTCAGTGGGGGATAACGGTGAAATACACCTGATCTGGGCTGCATTCAGAGTTATGGGACTGCTACATCACAGCCTGGTGGGAGTGATTGACAACAGTTTGAGAAATACATTCTAACAGGTACATGTACATCATAGTCCCGACTGGGTGGGGAGAGCAGATTTTCTCTCCTGAAAAGCATTAGTGAACCAGTCGGGTTTTTACAATCGTCCAGCATTTTCACGATGATCATTCAGCAGACTAGTTTTGATTTAAGATTTATGAACTAATTTATTTCTAGTTTCCCCAGCTGCCCTGATGGGATTGGAACTCATGTCTCTGGAACATTAGTGTGTAGCTCCAGGATTTATGAGTATGGAAATAACGCTGCTATGTTCCCATACCCAGAAGGTCATGAAAGTCAGGACAGGAGTATGATGAGCAACTGATCTGATATCACTCACTGTTAACTCTAAAATTACCTCCTCGATCAACACAACCCTCCCCATGTCCCAGTTAATTATACTCTAATTTTAGTTTAATATGTTAAGGAAAGTTCACTCTTTAGTATGGATAAGTACATGATTTATCTTCAGTCTGAAGTCAATGACTCCAAACTGATAAATAAGAGGACATTATCTCTGGAATACAATTAGAGAGTCAATACTCACAGGTTTGACCATTACCTTTGTAGCAGATTGGTTTAACAGGTTGTATAAATATTTAATATTTGCATTGCTTAAACCTCTTCTCTCAGAAGCAGTAGAGGAGAGTTGAGGGGGTGAGTGGGTTATCCAATTCAACCTTCACGAAGGAACCTACTGTGGGTGATCATTGAGAAGTAAGACCATTGCAGAGCTCAACAATGCAACTGCATAATGTACACAATCACAGTCAAACTCATCAGCAGGCAAATGCTAGTCAGACTGCAGTGTCTTGCTACTAATTCAGGCCAATATAGGAGGAGTCATTGTTATTCAGGAACCAAGCCAAGCTTTCTGATGTCTGGCATTTTTCGCAGGTATCTATTTCATAAAGATACTGCAGAACATCTTATTTCAATACCATCCGAGCAAGCAGGCAAGTGGGTTTACCATCTTATGCAAAACAGCCTCTTCAGGAATGTGGCACCCCAATCCAATCATGGCACACATGAAGCCACGCTACTCCTCCTCATACAATAAATGGGGAATATCTGGTAAATGTCAGGTTAATAATAGCAGTGAGAAGCAGATGAGACATGAAAAATTTCCACAGGATGGACTGGTTGCGATAATGCAATTGATGTGGACCCAGGGACTTCCAAAAACGTTGGACAAAATGCCACATAACGGATTTGCTACCAGAGTAATGGCCCATGGAATAAAAAAGAGACAGTGGCAGTGTGGAGTTTGACTGTGTTGGAAATTAGAGACTGTTCTGTTTTAGAATGCACGAAAGTTTGGTGGTAATTGCTGGTACTGGGATCAGTGCTTCTCTTGATATAAATTAATGATTTAGACTTAAATGATCAGGGCACAACTTAAATATGCAAAGGTGATACCAAAATTGGGAAGTATCTTGAACGGTGATGATGACATCAGCTTCAAAAAGGAGATGCAAAATGAATTAAAGGATGCAATTCTGAGGTGTATGTAAGAACAGAGAGACTGAGAGAACGGAGTATAGGGAGGTCATGCTGCAGCTGCAGGACATTGTTTAGGCCACTTTTGGAATACTGTGTTTAATTCTGGTCTCCCTACTATAGGAAGGATGTTGTTAAACTTGAAAGGGCTAAAAAAAGATTTACAAGGATGTTGCCAGGGTCGGAGGGTTTGAGCTGAAGGGAGAGGCTGAATAGGTTGGGACTATTTTCCTGGAGCGTTGGACGCCAAGAGGTGACTATGCAGAGGTTTATAAAATCATGGGGGTGGGCATGGGTAGGGTAAATAGCCAAGGTTTCTTTCCAAAGATAGGGGGTTCCAAAATTAGAGGGCATGGGATTAAGGTGAGAAGGGACAGGTTTAAAAGGGACCTAAGGGGCAACTTTTTCACGTAGAAGGTAGTATGAAACAAGCTGCTATTGGAAGTGGTGGAGGCTGGTAGAATTACAACATTTAAAAGGCATTTGGGTAGGTATATGCATAGGAAAGGTTTACAGGGATATGAGCCGAATGTTGGCAAATGGGACTAGATTAATTTAGGATATCTTGTCGGCATGGAGGAGTTGGACAAAGGGTCTGTTTCCATGCTGTACAAGTCCATTACAAATCATTGAAGGCATCAGGGCAGGCTAACAGAATGACTTAAAAAAGCATAAGGGATTCGGGGGCTTCAGAAATGAAGAGGCCTGGTGTAAAAAGTAAGGCAATTCTGTTGAACCTCAGTTTGGCCTCAGCTGGAACATTGTATTCAATTCTGGGCACCGCACTGCTGGAAGAAAATATTATTTTTTTCTTGAGGGAGTGTCTCCATTGGAGGGACTTCATTCTGGGGATCACTGGAGAAGCTGGAGTTGCTGTGCTTGCAGGAGAGAAGGTTGGGAGAGCTTTTGATAGTGGTATTCAAAATCACGAGGTATCTAGTCAGATTAGATAAAGAGCTGAAGGAGAGACACTGGACTTGAAATGCTAACTCAGTTTCCCTCTCCACAGAATGCTACCAGACGTGTGGAATTTCTCCAGCATATTCTGCTATTATTTCAGATTTCAAACAGTACGTTGCTTTCAGATAAAGGTAAAGAGGCTTCCCACTGGCTGGAAGACTGAGAAGCAGAGTGCACCAGTTTAAAATTATTACCAAAAGGAACAAAAGGCCACTTCTGACAGAAAATTTTTTGCGTGGTGATGATCAGGATTGCTGAAGAGTGTATGGGAGGCAGATTCAATGGAGATTCCCAAAGAGGACTTGGAGACTAAGAATTTTCAGGGCTGCAGTGAAAGGGCAGGGAGGGTGGGACTGGCTCATTCGCTGGTAGATATTGGCCTAACCCTGGATTATGGAGGATGAGCAACTTGGAGAACAACATATCGAGAGAGAATGGGTCAGAACATTTCCTCCCACTGTGACAGTGTGCATCAAGTTGAGAGAAGACCAAGGGTTAAGTGTCAAATTACCCTTTCGCAATGAAAACTCGTTAAATATCGGGATGTGTGGCCTCCCAGTGAATAGATCAGCGTGTTTTACAAGCGCATCGTTCACTGCATCGTAGCTGGACAATACCACTGCCTTCTGCGGGCCAATCTCCACTGAAAATACGCTTCCATATTTCTCTGCGAGCTAGCAAAGAGAGAGTTGTTTCATTAGAGTTTCATTTCTGGTCAGCTGTAAAACGGAGAAAATAAATGAGAGAAAGATGAGTAATTACTTCAGCTTTAAATCCTAGCTCGCCAATCCGGTAAAGGTGGGCACCTCTTCTACACTTCCAAGAATCTAGTCTACTGCATTTGCTGCTCACAATGTGATCTCCTCTACACTGGGAAAACGAAGCGTAGACTTGGCGACCACTTTGCAGAACATCTATGTTCCGCTCGCAAAAAAGACCCTGAACTACCTGTTGCCTGCCATTTTAACGCACCACCCTGTTCCCTGGCCAACATCTGTCTCTGGCTTGCTGCAGTGTTCCAGTGAAGCCCAACACAAGCTAGAGGAACAACACCTCATTTTCCATTTGGGGACGCTACAGCCCTCCGGACTCAATATTGAGTTCAATAATTTTAGGGCCTAAACTCTCCCATGTCCTAGTCCCTCACCCCACACACCAGGCTTTGTTACCACATAACCTGCCATTATACACCCCCTGTTGTTAGTCAATAACAGTCCCCATTAACAACTATTCACCCTCCTAGCCTGATCGTTAGCAACTCCTTTGTCTGTCCAACTGTCCTTCTCTCTCTTTGGGCTCTATCCTATTGTTTACTCCTTACCCCATCCACCTCCCTATTTTCTGCATATAGACTGACGTTTTCCCAGCCACCAGCAGTTCTGAGGAAGAGTCACTGGACCCAAAACGTTAACTCCTTTCTCCTTCACAGATGCTGCCAGACCTGCTGAGCTTTTCCAGCAACTTTGTTTTTATGCCTGTTCTTTTGTTGGTTTCAGCAAAGTGACCCACAATTTGCGTTCCATCTGCTGGAGCCCCTGAAAGCCACAAACCAATCCCATTTGAAGCCACAATCCAATGTAAACAGACTGCAATTGGTTTCTTTTTCAATGCCCCATCAGTAAACAAGCAAGTCTGACTGGGATTCCTCGCCAATATCTGGACTTCAAACTCTTGAGTTCTTAGCTAATGTGAGCAAAATTTATGAAAATCAAACATACATGACATTATAAAAATAATTATAAGTGACTTCAATAATGTTACAGGTCAATTTAACAGCAAGTTTTTAAAAACATGCATTATCCCCACATTTAATGGGATTCGCGTACAGATCCTTTTTACTCCCTGCCTGTTTGTGTTGAGAGACCCCTTTTCCATCTCTGATGCTTTTTGCTTTATCTCTTCAGAGCCTGGCCCTGGGAGCTTAGCTCAGTGGAACCACTTGAGATCTTCAGTTTAATTCTTCCATGGAATGTGGATGTCTGGCCAAGCCAGTCTTTGCTGCCCATTCTCACTGACCTTGAGAAGCTGGTGGTGAGCCACTGCAGTTCTCAAAGTGTAAGTATACTAGCAATACTATTTGGGAAGGAGTTCCAGGATTTTGAACCAAGCAACAATGAAGGAACATTGATATAGTTCCAAGGCAGTGGGAAAACTCAGTGATAGTGGTGTGGATTTCTGCGTGCTGGTCTTGTACTTCCTAAACAGTTGAGGTCAGAGATTTGGAAAGTCTTGTTGAAAGAGTCATGGTGAGTTGCTGAAGTGCACCATGAGAATGGTACACACTGCTGTGTCAGTAGTAAGCAGAGTAAATGTTGAAGGTGATGAGTGGGTTGCAATGATAGTTTATTTTGGATGCAGTGGAGTCTCCGGAGTGGTGTTGGAGCTACATCCATCCTGGCAAGGGGCAGGAATATTCCATCGTACTCTCACTTTGTGCCTTGTAGATGCTTGACAGGCTTTGGGGAGTCAAGAGCTAAGTTACTCCTGGTAGAGTTCCTAGTCTTGAGCCTGTTCTTGTAGCCACAGTCATTCTGCACATGTGACAAGCCGCTGCCATTAAATGTTATTGGCACAAAACATTTGTCACATTGAAACAACCAGAAACTAATTTGGATGCAATGAGAGAAGAGTTGATGCTTGGAAGTTGAACACAAAGTTCTGGTTGCCCTGCTATAGGAAGGATATTATTAAACTGGAGAGGGTTCAGATTTACCAGGATGTTGCCCGAAATGGGAGTTGAGATATCAAAACAGACAACAAAGGCCAGGACTTTTTTCACTGGAGTGTAGGAGATTGAAGGGTGACCTTATAGAGGTTTATAAATTCGTGGGGCGTGCAGATAGTGAATGACAAGGTTCTTTCCCCTAATGTGGGGAGTTCAAAACTAGGAATCATATTGTTAAGAAGAGAGGAGAGATTTTTTTGAAAAGAGTGGTTCGTGTGTAGAATGAACTTCCAGAGGAGGTGGTGGATGGGGGTAGTTACAATGTTTAACAGACATTTAAATGTGTACGTGAATAAGAAATATTTGTAGTGATACAGACCAAGCACAGGCAGGTGGGACTAGTTTAGTTTGGGATTATGGTTGGCATGGACATGTTGGACCGAATGGTCTGTTTCCGTGCTGTATGAAGCTCTGACTCTGACAAAACCCCACATCACCTTCTCCACTCCTCCTCCATTCCTTCCTTATCTTCCCTGGCTGGCCACAAATATTAATACCGAGTCATGATTTTTAGATTCAGCTCTCCCTTACTACCAGGGGATCATATTCTCATGTGGCTATCTGCACTAGCAGCTCAATAATCTTACTTACCAGTCTGTGCATTCACAGACCAGCACAGTGACAGTAATTTACAGCAATCCCTCTTACTCTAAAATCACTAAATAAAAACCAAAAGAACTGCGGATGCTGTAAATCAGGAACAAAAACAAAATTGCTGGAAAAGCTCAGCAGGTCTGGCCGCATCCGTGAAGGAGAAAACAGAGTTAATGTTTTGGGTCCAGTGACTCTTCCTCAGGACTGATGGTGGCTGGGAAAATGTCAGTTTATATGCAGAAAATAGGGAGGTGTGTGGGGTAGGGAGTAAACAATAGGATAGAGCCCAAGAGAGAAGGACAGTTGGACAGACAAAGGAGTTGCTAACGATCAGACTGGGAGGGTGAATAGCTGTTAATGGGGACTGTTAGTGGCTAACAACAGGGGTGTGTAATGGCAGGCTATGTGGTAACAAGGCCTGGTGTGTGGGGTGGGGGTGCTGGGACATGGGAGAGTTTAGGCCCTAAAATTATTGAACTCAATATTGAGTCCAGAGGGCTGTAGCATCTCCAAGTGGAAAATGAGGTGTTGTTCCTCCAGCTTGCGTTGGGCTTCACTGGAACACTGCAGCAAGCCAGAGACAGAGATGTTGGCCAGGGAGCAGGGTGGTGCATTGAAGTGGCAGGCTTACCCTAGATGTCTGAGATACCCTATCATTTGCACTTACTCCATGATGTGGAGGTGCCAGTGTTGGACTGGAGTGGATAAAGTCAGAAGTCACAACACCAGGTTACAGTCCAACAGGTTTATTTGAAATCACAAGCTTGCCCAGCTGCTCCACCTGACAAAGGAGGTGCTCAGAAAGCTTGTCACTTCAGAAAAGAAGTAGTGGATTTTCACTTGGTATCATGGGACTTCTGCTTTTACCGTCGTGCTGGTTATCTCTCCCAGTTTCTTTTTTCCCCTCTCCTGTGTTATCTCCTTGCTCTAATTCTCCTGAAAATCCAAATTCGTCTCAATGGCTCTTCAATTCCTCGTGTTTCTTGTTATCCCAGTCTTCGTCCTGCAGCCTCTCCTGAGCCCTCACCTTGTGCTACAGAGTTAGCCTGGCTTCTGGCTTTGTCTGCCCTTCCCACAGGTCCTATCGCTCTCACTGATCCCTCAGGAGGATCTCCTGTGCTGCTCGGCTGACCCACTATGTGAATGTACTCTTCCTCCCAGGAGCTCACAGCATCGTGCACGTACCAAAGTAATGCCGGCCGCTGGTCGAGCCCCAGAACTGCGATAGCTGACTACATTTCCTTGGGGGAAGGCGGCGCGGGGGGGAATTCCCACATGGAACAGGATGTGAAATCCACAGTCCTACCACATTTCTACGAGGTAGTGCATCAGTTGGCTTCACAGAAATCGGACTTCGACAAATATAGATCTACCGGCGACTCACTTCCCTTTCTATTGAACTCAAGTTACTTTACAGGAAAGTTCGTTCAAATATTTTACTCAACTCTTTCTATGAAGGCGTCTCAGATTTTAGTGTGTTGAAAAAAAATCACCACCCTTTAACGTATTAGCTCTGGTTACATACAGTAATATTTATCCCGTTGTATGTAATTCGTTAAACTTTAATCAAAGATATTTTTAATCAACTTATTCAGAAAAGATTATCACTTATTACACAGAGGAGGATACTCATCTGGAGCAAGTAGATTTGAACCTGATGTCAATGACATGATAAGCTATCAAATGGGCTTTAGGGCATTCGGGGTATCCCTACCTCTGTACCAGGAGGCCAGGGTTCAAGTCTCACCTGCTCCAGAGGTGTGTAATAACATCTCTGAACAGGTTGATTAGAAAATTGGTCAAATACGCTTTAGGGCTGTTGCCGCAGAGTGGTAGTGCCCCTACCTCTGGGTTCAAGTCTCAGCTCTTCCATAAAATGCGTACTAGGTTGATCCAGGAGATATCAACATTACAGCATTTCATTGCCAGTTCTGAACAACTGTACCCTGGGCTTTGACTTCGTTTTGAATCATGGGGAAAATAAGAGCATAGAGAGAGGCCATTCAGCCCATCGTGGTCAGGTTCCCCTTGAAGAAAAACGCAAATCAGTTTTTCAGGTTCTTGCGGCGCAGTGGTAGTGTCCCAACCTCTGAAGGAAGAGACCTGGGTTTGCAATTCAGCTGCCCCTGAGATTGGCCATAGCATTTCTGAAACAGTCGAATAGAAAATGGAGATGTTGGAAAAAACAGTGAATCAGATAGGCTTTGTTCCAATTAGTGTGATTGGATTTACCATAGAGTTAACTAAATTAAATATTTACAAGGTCATTCATGCTGCACGACTTGTGTCGTGTGTGCAATACCTTTGATTTTTGTTTTCCTCCCACTCAGTCTCAAATCAAAGTCCAGTCAAAGTTTAGAGATCATAGACCCAGAGCTAACAGATTCCCGGATCGCGGATTACAGATCTGTTTGGGGGTGGAATCCCTCCGTTTGTATCTCCAGTCTCTATGAGCCTCTCCTTGGGAGCTGTTCCTTTACACCGCCCTATCCCTCCGACATTCCCCAATGAAGGATTCTCACCTACCCCCATGAGAGACCAGTCCAGCCTCCTGAGGTCCAGTTGGTGCAGGTTCCCGATCAGAGGAAGCGGAGTCGGTCCAGGAGGGAAATTCCTGGGAACTCTCCGCCGGATAACAGAAACGATCAGCAAAAGAGAGAGAGCCAGCAGCCACAGGACCGAGGTGTAGCCTGTGGGAAAGTACTTAAATAATTCCATTGTCTCCGAGTGCCCACACACTAAGTGGAGCCACTTGTGTCCTGATGCTATAATATGGGCTGTCCTTCAGTCCAACCTTCCACTTAATTGCTCCCAAAGCACCGCCTCATTTTCCTTAATCGTCTGAATGTCTTTAACCCCCACTTTCCCGTGAGCTGGGCCATTTAATTAAACAGATCGGTACACATCCCCGGAGCTTCAGTTCTAAGTACACGACAGCATTGGATAGTGGGCACCCCTGGGCAAGTGATGTTTAGGCACAGCAAGAGTCCACTCAGAGAAAGCGCTGTCAATTTTCACACCTGGCTCTAACTGAGCTTGTCTGGACAGATGTACCTGGCATGCTTTTATGGTAAGAGTCTCTTTCCCAGGACACAGTTTCGCTGAGAAGTGAGGATATCTAGTAAACTTATACACGTGTAGCAAAGCAGAAAATTATATCTCTACAGGTCTGCTGTTCTGAATCACACCTTAAAGATTATTTGCATTTATGTGGTTAATTGTTGCTTGATAGTACAGGACTTGAGTGTTGCTGGTAAAAGAGACATTCTGCTGAGGGTTTTTTCTTTCACTTATCATCGAGTCAGAGACATACAGCCTGGAAACAGACCCTTTGGTCCAACCAGTCCATGCCGCCCATTATCCCAAACTAAACTCGTGCCATCTTAGCCCATATCCCTCCAGACGTTTCCTACTCATGTACTCATCCAACTGTCTTTTAAACATTGTAACTGTATCCACACCTAGGAGGTAGCAAGGCTGGAAGTGAGAGTTGATCAAATGTGGAGCTGGAGGAACACAGCAGGTCAGAGTTGCAGCCAAGTCAACGTTTCACGTCAGGACCCTTCATCAGACTGGGAAAGGGGAAGGGAGCTCAGAAATAACTAGAGGGAGGAGGGTGTGAGGCTGGGTGAACGTAGGTGGGATGGTGATAGGTGGATGCGGGTACGGGGTTGTAGAGCTTGGTCAATGGGAAGGGTTAAGGAGGAGGGGATGACAGGGACGGCGGGACGTGAGGTGAGGCAGGGGTGGGGTGGGTGTGGAGATTTTGAAGCTGGTGAATTCGACGTTGAGGCCACTGGGCTGTAAGCTTCCGAGGCAGAATATAAGGTGTTGTTCCTCCAGTTTACTTGTGGCCTCATTTTGACAGGGGAGGAGGAGCAGGATGGACATGTCACCAAGGGAGCAGAGGGGGAGTTGAAATGGCTAGCAACTAGAAGGTGGTGTTGATTGGAGTGTACAGAGAACAGATACTCCACGAATCAGTCATTGAGTCTGCGCTTGGTCTCCCTGATATAGACCAGCGATGCTGAAACAGCTCTAGGGTCAGCACCATATTGGCCACCTTAATCAGAAACCCCTCTGTTGGCTGATATCAGAAAGAGTTGATCATTAGCGAGCCAGCAAGTGGCGTCCTTCTGAGCTTGAGCCCAAGCTGACAGATCCGGGCCTGGAGGAGACAACTTTCATTGCAGATTCCGGGACGATGACCAGTATGACATTCATAAAAAGGCAAAATCAGGATTGGCACTTATCCTAAATCTACATTTTAAATTCTGTATTTGATCTCTGCCCTGGATTGAGAGTGCAAGAAAATTTTTAAGCACCAAAGAAAATGCTACAAGGACAGCAGAGCCGTAACCTGTTTACAGTGGGGCACAGTGCAGGTTGGTTATCGCTGTCATGTGCATATTGTTTTACAGACATACTCCTGCACCTACACACTGATCCTATTGGGTGGAGCCTTTCAGTTCTGCACTGAGCTCCACACCTGGATCTACATAGACATGTTTTGAAAATTATTCAACTTGTCCCAATTTGCCTTAGCTTAAAACCAGCAAACACCCCAATAGCTGCACAGTGAACTCTCCAATCTTGTAAATCGTTGTGGTCAAGGGGAACCAATAGCATGGAATGAGAAGACAGAACATTGATAAGCCTCGAACGATTGGAGTTCTGACAAAGGAATCTCTTGCTCTCTGTCAGAGAGACAAAGACTCCCTCAGATACATCAGGAATCCAACAGAACTGACCAACCTGCTGTCCGTCTGATTCACTTGGATCAGTGTCTGATTCTGAATTGGACTGACGGCAATAAGGATTTGTGTAGATTGAAGTGAACAGTTATTCCGATAAACAGGTCTCTGCAGAGAGCAGGGGGCAGCTCAGAGTGACTTTTTTAAAAGTTTTGATCTTGATGCCATTGGTTCAGAAGTGCTTGCAATATTGGCGAAAAAAGAACAATTCGGGGCCTTTGGGCAATATTTTCTCCACTCACAGGCCAGGAACTGTCATGAACCTGAAATCTTTGACCTCTTTATGGGGTATTTTGGGGAATGGCCCTAAAATGCTCCTCCTGGGATCATCCTGTCCGTGTCAAGTTTCCTGTCCAGCACTTATGTGGAAATTTAGGCTCAACAAATAAGCACTTTCAATTGAATTCTTCTCGAGGATCATAAATATTAATATTTACCATGTTGCCACTGAATTATTTTAAATATATTGACAAATTGTCCTCATTAGTGAACCATAACGTTTACCTTGGAGGTTAGCAGACAGTGGGTGGTATCGGGTCAGTTGTGTGTTTGGGGCAGTTTGATTTTTAGGCCTGTCGGAGCTGATGAAGCTAAATATTGAGAGGGGAACGTACTGGCAACAGAACAGACAGTGCCCATTCTGTGTCGTTGAACAAGACAAAGTTCTACGCTTCAGTTTCTCTATGCTGCTCCTCCATGCCATGCTCTTTAGCTTTTTTGTCTATTTCAGGGAAAGTTTAAGATGAAATTGATCGGGTTATAGGAGCTGGTCGATTCCCAAGAACAGGAGACCAGAGAAACATGCCCTACACTGACGCTGTAATTCATGAGATCCAGAGGTTTGCCAACATCATGCCCATGAACCTACCTCATTCGACAACCAAGGATATGCATTTCAAAGAATATTTCATTTCAAAGGTATGAGATAAAAAAAGGCTTACATTTCAGTTTGTGCCACTGTTGCAATGATAACAACAATGTGGTACTTTCTGAATAAAAATAGGATTGGAATTTGAAGAAAAATAAATTAAAAGAAAGGGGAATTTCAATGTTGAGTATTTCTAAAAAAATAGCATCATTAAATATTTTCATCACACAACCTGATAGTGAAAAATGAGGCCATTCATCACATCGCATCTGCACTAGCTCTCTTTAGCATTGTGACAGAGACAAACGTCTGCCTTTCTCCCACAAACCATTGTTTCTATTTAAATAATCATCTAATGCCCTCTTCAATGCCTCATTTGGACCTGCCTGCACCACATGTCATTCCAAACTCAGGCACCAACTGTGGGAAAAGGTTTGATTTCAAATCTCACCTCACATTTGTTTGCTCTCGGGTCTTCAGTCCTGTTATGAGCACCTTGCACTGATCAGGACAATGCATATGCAGAGTGCAACATTATTTTTAATGAATGAGAGGAGATTGCTGGTTGGTTGGCCAGTACTCCAATTAGCAGAGGCTCAGGCGAATGCACCAGTTCATGATGACTGGTGCTTAACTGTCAAGCTCCAATTAAGTTTTAAATGAAGCCAGTTGACTGTGATTGGTCAAGGAATTACCCTGAGGAATGAACTGGAGATTGGAAGTCACCTATTTAATTGAGTTAAAGAGGCACAATCTGTGTACATGTTATTTCTGTTGCAAACAGCAGGTTCCTGTGCACTAATCTACGTAGCCTCCATTGCAGGCCAATGTGCCACACTGCAGGCCAAATGACAATTTGGATATTAATGAATCAGGAATTGTGTATTTTTGATTGAGGGGGTGAGACATTACATTTGACAACGAGGTCGGGCCAATTATAACCTGAAGTGTCCAGTGAAACTAACAGGACCAGGTACAACACTGGGTTTACACATCCTGCATGACTCACTCTCCATTGAAGTCAGGCACAGTGACACATTCAGAATTGCTTTCCGTGTTTTTCATGGAACCGACGTTATTCCTTTACTGACCTCGGTGCTGTACGATAAAACTCAACGGGAAAACCCAAATGAGTTTAACCCAGCTCACTTCCTGGATGCTGATGGGAATTTTGTGAAGACAGACACACAACTTACTGTTGAGAAAAATCTTAGATCTGACCTGGCAGCAACCTCTAAAATTTCACGATGAGTTGAGCTGCCCCATTTCTTACTTCGTTCATGGGATGTGGGCATCGCCGGCTGGGCCCAGCATTTATTGCCCGTCCCTAGGTGCCCCCCTTCAGAAGGTGGTGGTGAGCTGCCTTCTTGAACTGCTGCAGTCCATGTGCTGTAGATAGGTGCTTTTAGGGAGAGAAATCCATGATTTTGACCCGGTGACACTGAAGGAATGAGGATATGGAAAGGGCAGGAAGAATGTGAAGAATGTGGGATAAGCCATAATCCTGTTGAAGGGCAGAACTGCCTTGAGGAGCCAAATGGCCTGCTCCAGTTCTTTTTTCTTATTGTCTTACAGTCAGGACGGTGAGTGGCTTGGAGGGACTGCAGCAGTTCAAGAAGGCAGCTCACTACCACCTTTTCAAAAGGCAACTAGGGACGGACAATAAATGCTGAAACAAGCCAGCGATGCCCATGTCCCATGAGTGAATAAAGAAAAGGAATGCAAAACAAGAATGCTATAACCATTAATGTCAATTAATTCAACTAAGGATGTACCACAGGTCCTGCGATCACACTGGGGCTTGGTGAGACCACACCTATGCACAGTCTTTGTCTGTTTACCCAAGGAAGGGTAAAGTTACCTTAGAGAGAGTCACTAAGCTGATTGCTGGAATGAGGAGGGATGGAGAAGGCTCGGTGCTATATTCCTTCATGACAAGAAGAATGAGCAGTAATCTCATCGAAATATTGAGAATTCTTCAGGCCCAGGACAGAGGACGTGCTGGGAGATTGTTTCTAGAACTAGTCATAGCCTCACAGTAAAGGTGTGTCTGTTTGGGACAGGGTTAAGGACTCAGAGTGGTGTGAGTCTTTGGAATTCTCTACCCCGAGCGACCTGTGGATGTTCAGTCATTGAGTAGATTCAGGACCGAGTTTTGGATCCTAATTAAATTACTATTTAAGTTATGGGGTAGGTGTGGCATGGTGGAGTGTAGGGAGCAGATCAGCCAGGATGTTACTGAGTGAGCAGAGAGCTTGAAGAGCCAAATGTTTTCCAACTGATCGAGTTCTGTCTGTACGGGGATGGAGAGACACAAATGCTGTGAACGAAATTGCTTGCCGTTGGTGACCACTGGGATGGTTTCAGAGATAGGTGTTTGGAAGATGGTGGTCTGTGAATGGACCGTGTGTGTTGATGAGGTACTGACGGTGCCCTGTTCTTTTTCAGGTCGGAGTGTGTGCACTGGTGAGGCGTTGGCTAAAGTGGAGCTTTTTCTGTTCTTCACCACCCTGCTGCAGATGTTCCATTTCCAGTCTCCACCAGGTGTGACGGAGAATAGGCTTAGTCACCAGCCTGAAACCTCACCGGGTGTGTGCTGTGCCTCGCCGATGGGACCAGCGACAGTCCCAGCAAATCTTTCCCTGCTGAGTTTACAAATGTGAGGCAGGCCTGAAACCAGATTTCCATATCTCTATCCACCCTGTAATGCAATCGTTTACTCTTTGTACAAATCTATATCACATCATCTTCACTTCCATAACTATAACGTTTCCTCAGAATTAATTGGGAATCTTCTCCAATTATAAAAGGAGGCAGAAATTCCATTGAGAGTTTGCACTCTCTTTGCAAATTATCTAAAACCCCATTCCAAACGTATGCAACTGATTCATGTTGAGACAATCCTTGCTTTTTGGAGCATTATGTTCATTGTTGCATTGCAATGACTGAATGGTAAACCATGTTCCCCATTCATACAATAATTAACATTTCTTTCTGATTGCTTGTTTGGCTGGTTACACACAGACTGATCGACGTAATTGCATAGAAACATCAGGCGGCTGGAAATTCTCCTTGTTATCAATCCTCATTGTCTGCAGCATGACTGGGTTCTACATGCCTTTCTGAAGTTTGGACAGTTTTACCCATCTCTGTCATGCCTTCTGAGCACCCTTGAGGTTAAAGAACCTCTTGATGTTCCCCCTGACTGTTGCCCACCAGTCTGCTGGAGACTCAGAGGGGCTTCACCTGTTTAATCGCTTATAAGCTCCTCAATTGTTCTGGGGTCAACAGTTTCACGTTCAGCTTCCACGTTCCCTTGCCAACCGCTGGTCAGAACTGGGGGCTAGGGGAGATGGTGGGTGTGAGTTTTAAAATTAGAGGTCACCCTTTCGAATTAGATTGAGGTGAATTGTCACATGTACAGAAGTGCAGAGATGAGATTTTTCTCTCTCTGAGGGTTGTGAGATTTTGGAACTCTCTGCCATTAAAATGCTCAGCAGGTCTGATAGCACAGTGTGGACTTAGACTGGCACAAAAACGGAAGTTGCTGGAATGGTTCAGCAGGTCTGGCAGCATCTGTGAAAAAAAAAAATCAGAATTAACGTTTCAGATCTGATGTTACGAGTTCTGAGGAAGGGTCACCAGAGCTGAAACATTAACTCTGATTTTTTTCTTCGCAGATGCTGCCAGACCTGCTGAACCTTTCCAGCAACTACTGTTTTTGTGCCTGATTTGCAGCATTTGCAATTCTTTTGGTTTTTATGGAGTTAGACTGGGCTGTGATGCCCCAGCAGTTGAACGTGCTTGATGCCAACGTGGTTAAATGTGGTCACTGAGAATGGTCAGTTAGGCTAGGGAACTAAGATTCTGCAGGAAGCCGAAAGGGAGGATCCTTAAGAGAAAAAGTATCTGAGGGTCTGGGAACAGTGGCATGAATGAAAAGACTGAATTGAAGTTAAATTTGAATTTAACTGAAAGAACTGCAGATGCTGTAAATCTGGAACAAAATCAAAGATGCTGGAAAAGCTCAGCAGGTCTGGTAGCATCTGTGAAGGAAAAAACAGACTTAACGTTTTGTGTTTGGCGACCTTTCCTCAGAACTGTGTTGTTAAATTTGAATTTCCCGGGTTTGGCGAGTTAGTTCCGGGATTGAAACACGATCCAATCACAATACACAATGCCGACCAATCGGTGGTATCTGAGGTTGACCAATCGAGGGTGGCATTTTCTGAACCAATCAGAAGCGGGTTCCACTTGACCAATTGGACAGCATCGGGGTCCTTGCTGGCGGCGGCCAGGATACTATAAAAGGAGCGCCATAAGGGCTGTGACCTTAGTTTCCGAAAGGGGTCAAAGTGATGGCGAGGACGAAGCAGACGGCGCGGAAATCCACTGGGGGTAAAGCCCCCCGCAAGCAGCTGGCTACCAAAGCTGCCCGTAAGAGTGCCCCGGCCACCGGCGGTGTCAAAAAGCCGCATCGCTATCGCCCGGGCACGGTGGCGCTGCGGGAGATCCGCCGGTACCAGAAATCCACCGAGCTGCTGATCCGCAAACTGCCCTTCCAGCGCCTGGTGCGGGAGATCGCCCAGGATTTCAAGACCGACCTGCGCTTCCAAAGCTCGGCCGTGATGGCCTTGCAGGAGGCTAGCGAGGCTTATGTGGTGGGGCTCTTCGAAGACACCAATCTGTGCGCCATCCACGCCAAGCGGGTCACCATCATGCCCAAGGACATCCACCTGGCCCGGCGCATCCGTGGGGAGAGGGCCTGAGCTCGATCCCTCTAATTCCCCCATGAACATCAAGTCAAACGGCTCTTTTCAGAGCCACTACTATTAGCAAAGGCATTACCGAGCAAAGCAAAGTCCACTTATTTTAAATTTCCGTCGGTCAAAACTAGATTGAGCTGAGAAGAATATGGCTCCGGTCGTTGGGTTTTGGAGCGCTTTTTCTTGGATGTCAATTTAGCTTTTTGCAGAGTTTAAGGTGGTTATTCCCCCAAGTTCATTCCTTCACCAGTTTCGGGTGGCATCCAAACTTAATTTTACTGCCAGTGTCTTGTATCCACCTTGTCTTTGCCCCTCAATCTTCTGTACAGAAAATAACCTTAACTTCTTTTCAGAGCTGAAATGCTCCGTCCCACACAACATCCTGGTGAATCTCATCTCGAGTGGACACGCATGACTACCTTACTACAATTCTTCATCTCTTCACTGGGCTCTCAACAGCACTTCCATTGAGAACTGTGTTCTCAACTTGTATTCCATCTCGCTGTCGTCTTTGAAGGTAGAATCCCTATTCTCTGGGAACAGGCCATTTGGCTCATCGAATCCACACCGATTGAAGAGCATCCCACACAGACCCACCCTTCCGTAGCCAATCCAACTAAACTGCGCAGCTTTGTACTGTGGCAGGCAACCCACGCCAGACCTGGGGAGAATGTGCAAACTCCACACAGATAGTCGCCCGAGGGTGGAATCGAACCTTGACGCTGTGAGGCAGCAGTGCTAACCACTCTGCCGCACCAAGATCTTAGAAACCCACGAGCCAAATCTGATCTCATCTGCGGCTGTCAAATGTTGAAATAATGAGACAAACAGCGGAGAAACTGGCAGCGTCAAGGAATAGAAAATGGCTGTGGCTTCGAGTCGAGAAGCTACAGTCACAGTTGAATGTTAACTGCGTTTTCTCTCGGTGGATGTTCGGAGACTTCCGTTTCCTATTTTTAAAAGATTTCTAGCAGCTGCAGTTCTCCATTACGACTTAGCTGGTGAGGACAGAGTCGAGGATAGCTATCTTTTGACAACAAGGTGCAGGGCTGGATGAACACAGCAGGCCAAGCAGCATCATAGGAGCAGAGAGGCTGACGTTTCGGGCCTAGAACCTGCAGTTCCTACTATCTCTGATAGCTATCTTTTGTTTATTTGTTCTCTTGTCCACCTCTTTCCACACTGCCCCCCCCCTCCCCCCACAGTCGCTGGAACTTTATTTCAGTTCAAGGTTTGGGGAAAAGTTTTACTTTTCTGTTGTAAGAGTAGATTGCGCTTACTCTACTTTAGTCTGGGTATTGTCCCCGTCGCAGGAGTGATTTGGGGGTTGATTTTGTTTGCACCTTCTCTTTTTAAAGAGTAGAAACGGAGTTAGTGACTGTTTCATTGCGCCCAGGACAATGCTATTGCAATGCAAGTTGAAACTCGATCCCACTTTGTTTTACACCCCACGATTCACATAAGATACCAGACTCCGCAATTTGAAAAAGAACTGATTCCAGAATGATTAAATAGATAAACCCCCATTGATTACAGAGATAGCAGGAGGGTAAGTTTTCTGAAGAAGGGTCTAGGCCCGAAATGTCAGCTTTCCGGCTCCTCTGATGCTGCTTGGCCTGCTGTGTTCATCCAGCTCTACACCTTGTTATCTCAGAACCCCCCAACGATTATTTACTTTACTGGTCTATTCGTCAAAGTTGATTGTGGGTTTGAGATGTTCAGCTCCATGACCAATAATCCTCAAATCTCGATGTGAGTTGACTACCAAAAGGCGGAGTCAGTGAATAACCGGACTCGCTGCGTTGTGGGCGCTATGTATAAGCGGGGACAATTGCCATGTAAACGCATACGTGATCCAAGGACCAATAGGCTCGCGGCATGGCCAGCGGCAAATCAGAAGCGGGGGTGAGACCGCCGATCCTTCATTTGCATAACGGGGTCTATATAAAGCGGCGCGGCGGCGGTGTGCTGCATAAATTCGCGTGCAACGCAGCTCGGTCGGAAGAGTGGAGTCTGTGGGACGGGACGGCGGAGCCGAGCGGGCGCTATGCCGGAGAGTGGGACCAAGGTGATCGCCAAGAAAGGAGCCAAGAAGGCGGCCTCTAAGTCGCACCATAAGGGTGACAAGCGGCGCAAGAAGGCCCGCCGGGAGAGCTACGGTATCTACGTGTACAAGGTGCTGAAGCAGGTCCACCCGGACACGGGCATCTCCTCCAAAGCCATGAGTATCATGAACTCGTTCGTCAACGACGTCTTTGACCGCATCGCCTGCGAGGCGTCCCGCCTGGCTCACTACAGCAGGCGGCATACCATGTCCTCCCGGGAGATCCAGACCGCCGTCCGCCTGCTGGTGCCCGGCGAGCTCGCTAAGCACGCCGTCTCTGAGGGCACCAAGGCGGTCACCAAGTATACCAGCTCCAAGTGAAGGGGAACTTTCCCTTCCACATCAAACAACGGCTCTTTTCAGAGCCAACTCTTAACCACTCATTCCGAGAGAGCTCGTTTCCCAGTGCAAGTCACGGTCCCTCAATACTCAAAACCATGCTTCTACCAGTGTACCTTTCCCATATTGTAACCAGCGTCTGGAGATGCTGGACTGCAGCGGGTCAAGGAGACAGTTAAGCACTTAAGAAGTGCAACTGAGTTGACAGACAAGAGGGTCTCTGTCCTGAAAACTTTGATGTTTGGTTTGTCCACCGCATCCCCATTTCTATTCTTTTTCCCCTGTTAGAGGAATGATATTAAACTAGAGTGGGTTCAGAAAAGATTTACCGGGATGTTGCTGGGAATGGAGGGTCATGGGGAAGAGGCTGGGACTTTTTTCACTGGAGCATGGGAGGTTGAGAGGTGACCTTATCAAGCTTTATAAAATCACGAGAAAGGTGAATAGCAAGCGTCTTTAGGGTGGGGGATTTCAAGACTGGGCATATTTTTTAAAAGGTGACAGGAAAAAGATTTTAGAAAAGAGGGGCAACATTTTTAAAGTAGAAAGTGGTTCATTTATGGAATAAGGGTCCTGAGGAAGTGGTAGATGCAGTTACAACATTTAAAAGATTAGGTTAAGTACATGAATAAGAAACGTTTGAGAGAATATGGGCCAAATGCAGGCAGGTGGGACAAATTTAGTTTGGGACCATGTTGGTGTGGACTGGTTGAGCCAAAGGGTCTGTTTCCATGCCGTATGACTGACTATGTCTAAGGTTAATCAATGGAGGAGAAAACAGAGTTAATGTTTCGGGTCCGGTGACCCTTCCTCAGAATCCGAAACTGGACCCGAAATGTTAACTCTGTTTTCTCCTCCACGGATGCTGCCAGACCTGCTGAGCTTTTCCAGCAACTTTGTTTTTGTTCCTGATTTACAGCATCCGCAGTTCTTTTGGTTTTTATAAGGTTTATCAATATCCTATACAAGTTTAGTGTAGCCTCCCTCTTCTTCTACTGTCCATAGTTAATGAAGCTTAGTATATTGCATGCCTCATTAATAGCTCTAACTTTCCCGCCCTGCTTAATGACACTGGCTCCCCTGTTCCAGCACACCCTTATTTAGCCAGTCACTGGTTCAGGGTCTGATTCATTTGTTCGACCTGCCCTGATGCTTGTGGATAATAGGGACAGTTCCAGTCAATTCTCAATAACAAGTGAACATCTTGAAATGCGTTCCCTCGTCCAAGTCAATGCTGGCGGATAGTACCCATTGGGGTACATAATTCTTACACATCCATCCAGCTGGAAAACTTGTCCCCAGTTACAAGGATGTCTGAGTAACCTTGACATTGTGGGAGTGACACATAAATCAACTTGCAAATGCTGGAATGGCTCTGGAGGCGCTGGTGCTTTCAGTTAGGGAACTTGCACTTTGGCTCCAGGGTTTTTCTGGCAAGTGAGGCAGTGGTTTACTACTGCTTGGGCAGATATTTTAAAACCCTGTCCCCACCAGCTGTGCTGTCATCTGTTCAGGCCCCGATTGTCCCCAGGAGTGGATTTGTTGTGCCAGATATGGCATCAAGGCAGTAGGTATGAGGTAAGTCGATTTCCTTTATTCATTCACAGGATGAGGGTGTCTCTGGATTAACAGTCCAGCGATAATACCACTAGGCCATTGCCTCCCCAGTTAAATTGATTTGATTCTTGATGTCTCCAAATGCCATCTTTGCGTCGCCCGTGTCCATTATCAATCCATCCCTTTTTCTCCTCTTGGGAACGTTCATTCTGCATTGTATGCAGATTTTGATTTGCTGCCCCAATGGTTGAGGTGGCAGATGTGCCCTTGAAGCTCTTGACAGGAGTGATTGGTGGCAGCTCTTTCGGCTGCCTGATCTACCAGGGTATTGCCTGGCCTTCCATGGTGTTATCTTTAGTGTGGGCTTTGCACCTTATTAAATTGCACTTCTTTGGGCAGCTGGAGAGCCTCCAACGAGTCCTTGACTTCCTTCCCTTGGTGTACCTCAAGGATCTGTTTTGGGGTCACTGCTGTTTGTCATTTTTATAAATGACCTGGATGAGGGCGTAGAAGGATGGGTTAGTAAATTTGCAGATGACACCAAAGTCGGTGGAGTTGTGGATAGTGCGGAAGGATGTTGCAGGTTACAGAGGGACATAGATAAGCTGCAGAGCTGGGCTGAGAGGTGGCAAATGGAGTTTAATGCGGAAAAGTGTGAGGTGATTCACTTTGGAAGGAGTAACAGGAATACAGAGTACTGGGCTAATGCTAGGATTCTTGGTAGTGTGGATGAGCAGAGAGATTTGTGTCCATGTGCATTGATCACTGAAAGTTACCACCCAGGTTGATAGCGTTGTTAAGAAGGCGTACGGTATGTTAGGTTTTATTGGTAGACGGATTGAGTTTCAGAGCCATGAGGTCATGTTGCAGCTGTACAAAACTCTGGTGCGGCCGCACTTGGAGTATTGCGTACAGTTCTGGTCACCGCATTATAGGAAGGATGTGGAAGCATTGGAAAGGGTGCAGAGGAGATTTACCAGGATGTTGCCTGGTATGGAGGGAAGGTCTTATGAGGAAAGGCTGAGGGACTTGAGGCTGCTTTCGTTAGAGAGAAGAAGGTTAAGAGGTGACTTAATAGAGACATATAAGATGATCAGAGGATTAGATAGGGTGGATAGTGGGAGCCTTTTTCCTCGGATGGTGATGGCTAGCACGAGGGGACATAGCTTTAAATTGAGTGGTGATAGATGTAGGACAGATATCAGAGATAGGTTCTTTACTCAGAGTAGTAAGGGCGTGGAATGCCCTGCCTGCAAAAGTAGTAGACTTGCCAACTTTAAGGGCATTTAAATGGTCATTGGATAAACATATGGATGATAATGGAATAGTTTATGTTTGATAGGCTTCAGATTGATTTCACAGGTCGGCGCAATATCAAGGGCCGAAGGGCCGGTACTGCGCTGTAATGTTCTGTGTTCCCATTTCTGATGGGGTGGGGGGTGGGAAAGCGCGGAGCGGATACGTGCAGCCGTTAGGAATCCACGCTGTTTCCACAGTTGGCCAAAGAAGTGGACTATGCCCAAAGCACAGCAGGAGTCCGTGTAAACGTTGGCAGCCTGATATTTTACAGGCTTCAGAGTCTTAATTCCACTTGTGGTATCTATGTTCCAGGGGGTGGGGGAAGGCTTCCTGATGTCATGACAGTGTGGAGTACCATGACAGCCCATCTGGCTTTCCTTATACCATTCTCCAGGAGAAAGGATCTGTCAGTACAAGGGACGAGTTCTGGGTTTTGCAAAGCCTCATTCATCATTTGATTATTGTCCTCCAATTTCTGCAGGATTCCAGCACAATCACTGTCACCTCCTTCCTCTCCTGTAGGCTCCAATAATATAGTGTGGCTGGCTTGACCAGACTCACGAACTATTTGTAGATTAGGAGCTTCTCGGACTGCTGTTCACCAAGCAGCAGTTACCTGGGATATTCTCCTCATAGAGAGCAAAGTAAGTACGGCATGCAGGCATTTAGCTCAATCTCTGACCCAACACCAGACTTGCAGTAAATCCCACAGCCCTGCACGTAGCTTGCACCGCTCTCAAACAGCTCCCCCATCTGAGGCCTACCTTGTCTAACTTCCGAGTAATATCCAACAGGTCTCAACCTGTCTTCATGTTCCTGGGCCAGCACCACTGTCATTTAATCCTCCTTCTTGTGGACAAATAACATAAAGGCTTTTCCTTTATCGGGATACCCAATGCTGGTGCGGAACAGTGTTCGAGGTCCTGGAAGGCTTCTTCCTGTTCCTTTTGTCAGTGCAATGTGTTCTTTTGAGTCCCATTCCCCCTTCTGTCAGGGGCTGGGCTGGTTGGGTATACAAATCAATCCAGCACTGGTTAAAGTTACACAGACCCAGAAAAGCCCTCAGTTCTTGACTTCTTGTAGGCTGTTCGGCAGCCTGTATAGCAGTGGCCTGACTTTGGGTGATTTCCCTTTTCCCCTGGGAGATTTTCTGTCCTAGATAGAATGGCACCGTGGCTCAGTGGTTAGCACTGCTGCCTCAGCACTAGGGACCCAGGTTCAATTCCAGCCTCAGGCGACTGTCTGTGTGGAGTTTGCACATTCTCAGTGTCTGTGTGCTCCAGTTTCTGCCTACAGCCCAAAGATGTGCAGGTTAGGGGGAGTTGGCTGTGCTAAATTGCCTGTAGTGTTCAGGGATGTGTAGCTTAGGTGGGATGCTCTGAGGGTCAGTGTGGGCTTGTTGGGCCGAAGAGCCTGTTTCCACACTGTAGGGATTCTACGATTCTACTCTATGACCTCTTTCTGGGCAATCCAAGCCTTTTCAGTACTAGCCCTGTGACCTTTCTGTTGCATGGGGTTTAGGAGGGTCTTAAAGTCTATCTCCTGTTGCTTTTCCATTTCTGAAGCAGTGTATCATCCACATACTGGATGATAACTGACTCAGTTGATGGCATTTGACAGAGGTGGTTTTGTAAAGCTGTATGGTATACAGTTGGGCTGTTGTGGAATCCCTATGGGAGTCAGCTCCATGTGTACTGTTGTCACACAGTAAAGGCAAACCACGACTGTATTTCAGGTGCTAGGGATACTGATCAGAAGCTGTTAGCCATATCTATGACTGAGAACCACTTGTGGTCTGGTGTTACCACTGAATATGGCAGAGGGGGTTGGCCACTAGTGGGATATTTTGATCAATGCATTGGTTTGCTTTCCTGTAGTCTATACAGAATCACCATTCCCCATGGGACACAGCAGGCTGTTAGAGGTGCTGTGGGTTTTTAAACCAAAATCCCTTTTTTCTCTAACCTCAGAATTATCAGGAGGATTCCTGCAATAGATGTTGGGCTGATGGCATATTTAGTGCAAGGTGGATGCAACCTGTGAAAGTTACAGTAACCTGCAGATGTCCCTGTCTTTAGCCCTGATAAAGGTGGTCTTTCAATTCTTCCCTTTGTAGGGTTCTGATG